CCCCAATTCCCAAAAAGGGATCTTCCAAATATCGACCGATTGCCCGCACATCAGCATTATTGAAGGTTTTTGAAAGAGTCTTTCTTAACCGGCTGACCCTTGTATCTGTCACGCATGACCCCATTCAGTTCGCTTACAAACATTCGCCTTCCATTCTTGATGCTGTTGCTCACGTTGTTCATTCCGTTTCATCCTTATTGGATAAAGGGTCTGGTATCGTCCGTTTAACTTTTCTTGATTATGCAAATGCTTCCGGATCACTTGACCGCGGTATTCTCCTTCAATGTCTTTCGGACTGTGGTCTGGCACCTAATTTACTGAATGTACTAACTAATTACTTCACTCATAGGATGCAATACACTTTTTGAAATGGTAAATCGTCCTCCCTGNGTTAACTCAGGAGTTTTTCAGGGTGCAATTTTGTCTCCATTTCTTTTTTCACTGTATATTAAGGACCTTCCCATCCCTCCCAACTTTATCGCTTGCAAGCACGTGGTGGTCGGCTGTCCCTCACCTGTTCCTGATTGTTTCTCTCAACTTCAAGTTTGTCTCAATAACATTTTTAGTTGGTCGACTCCCCGATCTTTAATGCTAAATGTAGATAAATGTGTGGATGTTTCTTTTAGCCTTAAAACAGGCATGCCTTTTCAAACCTTTTTGAATAATCAGCCTGAACTTTCTGTTAATGATAATACCATCCCCAAAGGTAACTCTGTGAAATATCTTGGAGTAACTTAGTCACACAATCTTTCTTGGTCCAAATATGCTGAAATCATTTGTATTCGGGTTCGTAAGCTATCATTCTACGCCTTTAGNGGTTGACTTTATTGTGAGCAAGCATTTTGACTCATGCGATCGATTTATCAGCCATATCCTGTCCAACGAAGAACACTGCCTGCACTCCCATCTCAATAAATCGGTCTCTCATCCGAGTACCCGTTCCCAATTTCGGATTCTTTATGCACGCACCACCACACATAAAAACAGCATGATCCCTTATTTTGCTCGCATCTTGATCAACCGAGCAAAAATATTATTTCTGACTTGAACAATCATCTCTCACATTAGGATTTTACGTAAACCCGTCTGTTTGTCATTAAGTAAGTGTATATTTCTTCTTTTTCCAATACTTAACGTTTTTTTTCTACTGTAGCATGTCGAAAATGCTGAAAATTCTTCCTATCGGGTGCATAAAACTTAACTTGACTTGACTCATCCGAGTTACGAGAACCGATTTTCAATACTTTGCCAAGTGTAAGATAGGAATAGAAATAAAAAAGGCGAATAATGAGCCACTTACCTCTGCACCTGCAGCCAGCGTGCTAAGTTCTTCCGCGAGTATCTTTAGACAGGCGATAAATTTCAACTGATTTGCAATCAGGTCCACTACAATTTCGTCTGATTCGTGAAACAGTTGCGATTGGTTAGGAATTCAGCGTAGTTCGTCCGCATGGAGGTTATAGATGATCAAAATCGGTTCGGTAACCAAAACAATGGACGTGAAACGAAAATAGCGGCATAATGTGAGCACCGAGTGGATGAAATATACAAGTGTGATTGCTGGCCCATTTGAAAAATATAGGTGACGAATTTAGAGATAAAACTCTGATAACAAAAACGAAAGATCGATAATAATTCGAGGTAAATCTGGACTAGAGAGCATGAAGAAAGTTGAATGCTGTAGTAAAATGTTTTAAACAACATTGGGTAAGTCGGAAATAAGAGAAGATTCTGGAGTGAAAATGAGTTTCTAATCCCTTGCACCAACTTGATCGAAGCTGATACGCTAACTATATTTTGAGCATTTGTTAAACTACTGGTCCAGGCCTGACTTAACGAACAGGGGAACGAACACAACGTCAATATTACCATTCGGCTGGAAAAGTTGTGGGCCCCAATCTGAATTGAAGCATCCAGAAAGCCGAAAAACATTACCATTATTCGAAACAGGGGCAAACTTGAGAGTATTTTCAGTTATCAATAAACAGTTTTGAATACGGCCGGTGTGCAGAGAACCAATGGACAACAAAACAAGTCGAAAGTTAAAATAAAATACGTGGTCCACTGGTGGTGTGTAAAAATAAAAATAACTTCCGGCTGAAAAGCAACACACAATCACGTCACAGTATCACAACTACACACTTGTCCAGCCAGCAGCCTTTTCATATTCATTCAGCTGAAGAATTGAAATGAAATCAATTGAAACGTTCATAAAACGCATAATATCATCTGTATGCATTTTTGAAGTAGAACATTGTTCCACACAATCCTGTCACATAGTGAACTAAATGAAATCATTTCACAAAAGGTGGAGCAAACACTATAGTGTGGCCAAGTATAATCCCTAAAGTATCATCAGTACAGGCATTTCCACAAATAACGGTGTCGTTTGATTGATGAGGTCTACACAGAGCCCGAAATTAAAACTACGAGTTCGCCAAAACTGAACAATCGCGATTTAGGAAGTATCCAGTACAACTGGCGAGGAAACTTACCATTGTTTCGTGGCTGAAGAACTGGGTGTGTAGAAGTGCTGGTGTTATAATTCCACAAGACGGCGCTGGTCGAGGATAGCCGTTTATTGCGGATTTTAGATGGGATATCACCAATATGCCATACATAACACAAAAACACCTCACCAGAAACATACCATCACCGTTCTTGCCGGCACATCGAATAATGCATAGTCATTATTTTAGACACATCACTTGTCCCTCGGTGGTCTTGTTATATTTTTGATCATTGTAGGTTACCTACTACTCACAAGTGAGTGATATCTCACTACTGGTACACGTCATCAAACTTAGGTGTGGAATGTAATGCGTATGCGCTCTGAGAAGCCCACATGGAGAAACAGGCAGATGATACCTACCTGAATTCAAGGTATCCGGATCCACAGGCTCACTTTGTCGGGAATCATTCGGACTGGATATCTGTGTAGGACCCCGATTATCACGGGGGGCGGCGATTAATTTGTTCTGGGAATCAGGTTCATCCTCATCGCTCCATTCAATTTTAAACTGTTCTGACTCATTCCGCACAGTCGTTACGAAGGGATCTTGTGTCGACCAAGCAAACAGGTCATCTGGTACATCCGTTTCGCTGAGATTACATATAAAGATAAAGAACGGGCTGTTAGTTTTGTAATTTAGATAAAACGAACTCCATCGTAATGGTGTTGAATTATCGTGCAAGTATTCTGGTTCACGTGGATAAATACAAACAGGAAAATAGTAAGATGCAGATAAAAAGGTTTAGAGTGAATGAAGGAAAGCGTCACTATAAGTACAGTATGTAGTGAATTACCAGCATGAGGAATAGAGCAGGCAGCAGTAACAAAATCATGAACGGGTGAACTACGGAGAGAAAACGCGAATAACCACAAAACGACGGGAGATTACACCACCACCATTCCGGTTCTCCATGGAGCGACAAAGTTGATACATCATCAAATACTCTCATGGATCACACCTAACAAGACATTAGACAGAAAAGTAATAGGCAATCGTAAAAGGAATGCACCTAGGGAGCGTGAAAAACAGACTTCAGTCGGTTTCGTAAGAAGGAATCGAACGGGGTTAAATTTGGAGATCTCGGCGATCAGCGCACGGGGCAACCTATACCGATCCATTTTTATAGAACTGCTTTATCAAGTTCTGACAGCCCTCAAGTGATAATCAGTTGCACCATTCTGCTGAAAATAAACGTTTATTCTTTGTTCTGGATTCAATGATTGAATTGTTTTGTGATCAACGTTGAAAACAAATATAGGTAAATTGTTCCAATAACTTCGGTATCAAAGAAATATGGAACTAGCAACAGTATGTTATGCATCCCAAACGAAACAAGAATCTTTCGGTTGTAACTGTGGTGTTTTCATTACAACGCGTGGGTTCTCATGCGGTCAGTAAACTTGATTTCTTTTTCTAGTCCCTCCATGAACGCAAATACGGTCTCAACAGACCAGAGTACACTCTCAGCCAACCATGGCCGTGTTAGCCGGGTGCGCTTAAGCCATTCCCCAAATTCCATATGTTTCGACTAATCTGATTCCTTCATCGCCACCCCATGGCAATACTTGCATGGGTGGAAAAAAAGACGAGAAAATATGCGTTGTACGGCTAAACGGCTATGCGAGCGCTGCCGATCTAATAAGCGAAAGGAGAGGTGAGGGGTTGAAGGTACCAGTGTTTTCACATTACTTCTCAACTCATCCGTAGACACCAGCTGTTTTATTTATTACACACCTTAGTGTGATCAACAGCAGATAGGACGAATACCATAGTCACGAGGTCCTGCTGTTCAGTGATGGAAACTGATTGTCGAAGCCCAGGGACTTGGAGTGGCGAACCGGTAGGTTGGGCGTCGTATTGAACCAGACGACAGCAAAGCTGCCTACCACCAAAGTTGGGTGGCCGCGACAGGGCAAGAACCTCGGACTATAGGGTGCTAGACACGGTGGTGACCGCGACTAAACCACTGCGCCACCACCACCCCTCATTCTTAATCGGTCCGGTATGAAGACTCTCTTTGCATTTTTTCACAATTGAATCGACTGGGTTTCGCTTGAGCGGATCGAGACGTTTGAATTCTCCGAAAGTTTCCCGAACACTTGACGCGTTAAACAAAAGCAAATAAGTTTTGTCACCTTCCGTTAAGTCCACCCTGCAATAATTGACAATTGAGACCTGTTTACCACCGGCGGCGGAAGGTTAACCGAAGCGGCTGGTTTAGCCTGCTACAAACCCATGCACAAATGAATCAGGAGGGTCTGGACAGCTTTGAGAGTTGTGGTCACCCATTTCCTCGGGTAAGTGCTGCAAATCCTATTCAGTAGTGCGTTTCCGTCTTGAAGAATCACCGTGTTGGTCATTTAAAGCCGCAGATATACGATTTGATCATGGTGCATCATAGAATGGCCTTATTGTGTCACAGCCTATAGTTTGGTTTCTTTCAGGTATCCATCCATCTACTCTACACATGCATTCAAACTCGGTAACTAGCCTTGTGACCTAATCCACGCACAATGGTTACAGGTCTATAGTGCAATACACACACACATTACGACCGTGTGGTTATTTAATCACGCGCACTGAACGCACATCTCAACTGATCACTGACGCACCCACGAGTTCATGAACCCAGTCAATCACAGTGGTTAACGTCGCCAAATACGCCCCTAAGGAGGGATTCAAAGAACGAAAGTAAACGGCCATAATTTCAAAACCGTTGGTGACTAATTCTGGAGTCCTTCAGGGTGCTTTGTTTTATCCATAGTTATTTTCACCATTCATCAGTGACTTACCCTTTATACCGCCAGCCAAAGCCCTTAAATAAACTGATGATGTGGTCTAGCGTCAAACCATTTTAAATCAATAAAACACGGAATCTTTCTTTGAAAAGTTTAGTATGAGTGCAATTATTGTCGAACAACTTCGGTCTCCAGTTGAATGCTTCGAAATCATAGTTGGTCTTTCCCAATGCGAATATCCCTGGGAACCCTCAGTCATTAATTCCGTACCCATCACCAAAACATCCCACGAAATACCGGGGAGTTACCATGAAGAGCAAACTGCGGTGGCTCTCACGTGTGCTGGTTGGTAGACTGCGTCGCCTATCCTTCCAGATATGCAAGCTACGACAATTTAGAGTGAAACATGAAGCTATTTGTTCTTCTGTTTATCAATGCACCTTCCCTGTCATATTGTTCGCCTGGTATTTGCCCTAGACTAATTAAAAAGAATTTCATTACTATTTGTCGAGGTTGGATACTTACCAGTCGTGTTTCTCTTGTTCACTAAAACACTCTAATTACTAAATTGTGTGATTTTCGTACTACATCATGTGAGAATTTCACCCACAAGATACTCAAAGACCCTAATCATTTGCTCAATTCCTATATATCTTTTAGCTGTATCCGCGCTACAGCGCGATCAAATTATCGCTGCTCACTTTCGGGGATAAGCATTTATCGCAATTCATTGGTACCCTATCTGGTACATATTGTAAGTGGCAAGATGAAGATCCGAAAAGGAATAATTTTAAACTTAAAAAGATGTTTTGTTTACATTTTATCTTAGTGGTATATGTTTTCTCATTTTTTCCCCGTTGTGACGGTGAACAAGTTTTGACTGAAAAATACGCATAACAGCCTGTACAAGTCATTACAATACAATTTCTTAAGCAATGATGAAATGGATTGCACACTAGCGCAGGGGCAGTAGCGTTACGCACCGGAACACGAAATTACCTGGGGCGATTTTTTGACGGACTCGTTGGCTGAGAGGCAATTGACGTCCTTGACGGTCGGCTTTGATCGAAAACACTTCCACGCCGGTCAAAATGATCATCGCCAATCAGTGGAGGCAGTTTGGTTAAGACCTCCAGTGCAAGTGTGGGACAACCCAGCGCGGAATAGTGATGTGCAGTGCGGAAATAAAGACGCCTTTCTAAACTGGTGAGCCGCCGCAAGGCCAACGTGTCAGCGGACGTGGGCGCATTGAGACGCCACTGACGCAGAACCAAGGGATGCGAGCGAAGATAGGTGTAGAACTTAAATACACTTGGATAGACAGAATGATAAGCCAAGCCTGTTGCCAGGGTACTTTGACCAGCAAGACTGGTATTCCGTTCGAGCAATTGCGGATGCTGAGGACTCTGGATAGAAATCCTACCAGGTAACTGTTCTGAAGACACAGATGGATCCAATTTTTGATTATCAGAAATCGACAACATAGGGCCCTCGAGTAACGTCTGCAGTGCTGCTAACGGATCTCCCTAAAATCAAAAGTAAAATGTATACCGGTTAACCAAGTTAACATTCATAAAATAAATTCTGCGAAAGGATGGATGGTGGTTAAACTTACCAAGGTCCAATAAGCCATACTTCTTAAGAATGGATCTTCATGCGTCACTACGTGTTTGCGCAGCAGCTGAGGATAGGGAGAGTCTGGAGCTCGATTATCTAATCCAGGTGTGGTGCTCGTATACAACCTGGGAAGATATAAAAGGACGCCGTAAAATCGGTTTTTAATTGATGAAAAAATACAACCAATCCGGAAAATCGAAGGCAAGCTCAATCACTCACCGCACAAGTACCACGGCCAATTGCAAGTCTTTCAACGTGTCTAAACAAACACGAATAGCATCGTCTAGGCAACCAGCGAGCAAAAACAAGCCAGCTGCTTGAGCATAGCGATGCTGACTGAGAAGGCGAAATGCATTGAGTTTTGCCTGTCGACAAGCAGGAAGACCCGGTTCGAAGTCGGAACGGAAGAAATTTTCCAGGGTCTTGTTTCCAATGGTTCTGTAGAGGAGAAGAAAGGAAAGCTTTGTAAAATGAAGGTAATTCAAGTTTTTGAGTGAAGGGAAGTAAACTGAAAGACGGGTGCAGATAGCGACGGAACGGGCAAACCTTTCACTGAATCACTCGACGATAAATAAATTGCAATCACCACTTATGACAGAAGTTAAAACCGCAGCATGAATAGGGCCAGATTGTGCCTCAGTTCATTTGATAGTCGTTTCCTGGGGTCCAATAAACGACCAATACAAGGGATATCACAATTAAAAACGCATTCTAGGGGAATATATGTCTTCGGTGAATTTGTTTTTAAGTCTTTGTTACCACATTTATATGGAACAATTCAAGTAGGCAGAAACAGAAAAAAGGATGAGTCATATATGTGTGGTAATGAGCCCAAGAGAACTTCAAATGGGCAAGCTGTTTGGATAATGTAACCAAAATGTCATCAAGCTGCTGGAAATGAATAACCAGTTTCGGCAAAACTGTGCGACTTGGAACACTTAGACGACACTATAAAAATGTAAAGAAAACGTCTGAAGCAACCGGAGAGATTGACAATTTTGTGGCTTCTTCCAGTATGTGCTTCTCAACTTCAAAATGTGAATGGATGATGCGAGACTGGTTGTTGGTGTAAAAACTAGATAATCAGAAGTAGATTACATTGCTTCTCCCACCTAGACAGATCTGTAATAAATGGACGGTGGCGAAGTTGAGTCTTAAACTGCACAAATGTATTCAAGGTTTGAACATATAACGATGAACTAAAGCATTTTGGTGTCAACGCGACATTAAATGAGATCAAAAGGTCGCGTAAACCATCTGAGTGAGTGTTCATTTTTCTCGCACGACTGTGAGAAACTGAGTTCGTGCGTTAAAAAAGGGAGAGCGTATTAGTTACACCAAAGTGACATTCTAATCTTCATTGTTTTTTATCCCAAAGGGCATTCAAAACCGGCGCATGAAAATGCGTGGTTAACGGCTGTAAAGACTGCAACTAAAACATCGAGGTAAGATAACGCATTTTGAAATTAATATACCTAACTGGTTACGGCATGTTCCGCGAATGCTTAGTTGCAAACACCGAACGAGGCGGCAGTAAACTCCGGTCGGAGGTACGTAAGCATAGTTAGACTACATAAGCTGTGTTCATTTCTTTAGTGTACATTGAGACGGGGTCACAACATATCCACCTTACAAAGGCATGCCTGCATTGTATACATTGCGAGTTAAACAGCAAACATTGTTCTATTGAATTTTGCCACGCGCTGATGATTAGAAATGAATGATTTGATCTTCATGCTAATTTTCCAGGGAAAATTGGAGCTGTATACAACTGGCAAATGATGATATATAGACAGCGGTATGGGCTAGTAAAGAAACTGTCGATTTCAATGACGATCTATGTTTCAGAGAGCTATCGCAATACAACGAGGGGGAAATTAGTTCCATTATTCATGCAATTTCATGAACCGGTTTTGGTTACTGTCTTTTAGCCACCCATTTGGATAGAAGAGCAGAAAGAAGATTGGAATGTTGAGAACAAATTCAAAAAGAAGATAGAAAATTCATATATCCTGGAAATACGTTTAACCGAAATTTTTGGAGTCAAAGAAGCACAGTTGCAAGAACGTTACTCTTAGAAACTTGCGAAACAATTGAATGACTTCAACGGCTATAATAACGTCTCCGTAAATCTAAGCTCCCATAAAATCCTGTTTCCAATCCCTACAGATTAGCTAGATTACAATCATTCTGGAATGAAATGTCATGGAAACAGTCTTTAAACCACTGGGTGAAGAACCTAGATAGCCAAAGTAACTGGTAAATAAGAACAAAAAACATACTTGAACAATCCAGCAACCATTTTGGCTTTGTGCATTGCCAAATAGAATACAACGGCCTCCATAGGATCCTTGGTTGTTTGGAATGCGGTCCGAGCAATCTGATGCGAGGAAAAAGGAGAGAAAAATCGCAAAAATTAATAAAAAACTAGAGAACAGGTTTATACGAAGTGAAGGTATACGGTTCACTTGCACAGCACAACACCCGGAGCATCCTCTGAAAAGAGTGTATGTAGCGTGATGTGAAAGGCTCTGAAAGCCACAATTGTTACAGGGCGAAATTGTGTGAGAAAGAAAGCAACTTTGTGTGTTTCTTTGTAAAACCATTAGCCATACACTTTCGTGTGCCGGTTTAGGTTGTTTTTTTTTGGCTGTCCATTTGGATGAAGGATAGGAGAAGACATGCAAGTTGGAAGTAGAGTCGAATAGAAAATGGAGAATTTCAGTGGTCTAAGGTTGCG